CTGGTTTTCAGTGAAGGGACAGTCAATATTGTTTGATTGAAAGTGAGACCCCAGCCCTCTGACACCCCTATATCCCAAGAAGTCTGGGATAATTGGAAGCATCACCCCAGCCCCTGCCATCCATCCTAAGTCCCCTCCTCCTGGGAGTTGCCTTGGTTCAGACTCCACCTCTGAAAAAACCCACCAAGCCTGACTCCTCCCCAGGGAGGGTCAGGACCACTCCCAAAAGCTATTTAGGCTGTGCCTAGAAAGGGAACACATGGTGGTCTCCTGGGTTTGTGTGGGCTCCTCTCCCCTTCTCCCCTCCATGCTGTCCTGGCCACCCAGGAGAACGCTGCATGCATTGAAAGTGGGCATCTTTTGATTGGGTCTAATCTGGTCTGATTGGAATTATTTGTGCGGCTCCTCTTAGGATCATTCCTAATAAATGTTGGCTGCTTGGATCTTAGCGATGAAAGGAAAGGGGACGTTGTCTCTGCTCTTGGCCTCCAATGGGTTAGGGACATATGGAAATAGAACTTTTTTTTGCTTATTTATGTGTAAACATGTCAGTGTGAGTACAATGTGTGTGTGTGTACTTGAAGGTGTGCACACTTGTGCATGCGCAGGGACACCAGAAGAGGACATTGGGTGTCCTTCCCTACTACTTTCTCTATTCCTGAGGCAGGCGCTCTCCTTGAGCCTGGGCTCCTGTTTTCTTCAGGAGACTGCTAGCCTGTAAGCCCTAGCAACCCTGTCTCCACCCAGAGGCGGGCTAAGTGGGTGCTGAGAGTCAAACACTGGTCCCCATGACTGCATGCATGCTCTTAGCCACCCAGTCACCTCTCTAGCCCCCTTCTTTTGTTTGCTCATTTAATGCTTGTTTGTTTGAAGACAGGGTCTTTCTGTGCAGTCCAGCGAGGCCTCAAACTCAAGATCCTCCTGCCTCAGCCTCCTGAAAGCTGGCGTTAGAGGCGTGCACCATGTCTGACTATTCGAGTCTTAAGTAAACCTGCGTGCGTATGAGACAGGTTTAGGAGAGGCATGTGGTTACAAACAAGCCACTCTCACACGGTTTACAGTCCAGTGACAGAGACAACACATCACTAATGTCAGGCAAGCACCCCATCTCACATTATGTTAAGTACAGGGGGAGAGGGGCAGGCTGTGAGAATTAAAGGTGGAGCCTAATAAGGTGAAGGGTCAAAGAGCAGCTCTGCCAGACTGCATTTAAAGGAAAGCACAGGATACTGGGAAGTAAGGAGATAGGAAAGATCACTGCGGACATATTCTGCAAAGCCTCTGGGCACTGGAAGAACCCAGGGTGAGAGGTGGGCTGGAAAGCAGGCAGGAAGGGGGCAGGGCTGGAGCAGGCGAGGAGTTGGCCTTTCTCCTGAGTGCAGCGGAGTCGGTGGGGTGAGCACTGAACATGAGGACTTATTCCCACACAGCCCAGGTCTTTTTGTTTGGGGACTGTTGAGAGAGGTAAGGTGAGAATGAGCATCTGCAGGGCTGGGGTGCCGCTCAAAGTCGACTGCTTGCCCATCATGTACAAGGAAGACCCTGGCCTCCGTCCCCAGCCCTGAAAAAGAAAACAAAACTCGGGGTCGGAAAGCAAAGGTGAGCTGGCTGTGGTGACCCAGGCCTTTAATCCTAGGAGAGGAGGCAGATCTCGAGTTCAAGGCCAGCCTGGTCCACAGAATGAGTTATAGGACAGCCAAAGCTACACAGAAAACCTATCTCCAAAAAAAAAACAAACAAAAAACAGAAAGCAGAGACGTAAATAGGGCCTGGCATGATGACTTGTCCCACCTTCAATTCCAGCACTCAGGAAGTAGGGCAGATAAATATCTATGAGATTGAGGCTAGCCTCAACTAGCTAGATACGGAGCTAGTTCCAGGGCAGCCAGGGAGACACAGAGAAACTCTGGGGAGGGCTATGTCTCTGGATATTCTGTGAGACAGGAGAAAAGGACTGATTTCCAGTGCATATTTAGGCACAGAAGTTTGAGAACTGGGGCAACAGTGGCAGCTGTCATGAGAAGTGTGTGTGTGTGTGTGTGTGTGTGTGTGTGTGTGTGTGTGTAATCTATCAGGGCTATCAGCACGGACTCCACCACTAAAGCTCCAACCACAGCTCCAGGAGTGACTTGATGGAAAACAGTAACAGTCTTGGCATATGAAGCCATGGGTGAATATTCGGAAGTGTGTGTACTCCGGCTCCTAACCGTATATGGTAGGCTTTCACAATGGGTCTGACCCATCTACTGGCCTGCCCACATCTAGTTTCTCTGCCTTCATCAACAGGCCCCTCGGGGCTGGCTGGATTGGCTAATCTCAATTCTGGTTTCTCCAACCCCAACTCCTACCGTATCCCCTCTGGGGGGGGGGGGGTGTCAATGGTCTGTCAGCTTCAGGCTATGCACACAGAGTTAGGGTTTATGCATGGGGAACCTTCTCTCCTTGGTGAGGTGTGAGGGTCACTAGGGGTCTGCCACCCTCTCCCTTGTCTGACTCTCCCAGCCCCAGGCCCCTACCTTTTTGAGCTGTGAGGGACTCAGGCAGGCCATGGGTACTACTGCAGGACACCGCTGGCCCAGGGTGCTGACTCCAGGACTGAATAGGGAAAAAGTTCAGGGAGAGAGCCTGGTGAGGAAGCTCAGAAGGGCTGAATTCTCACCTACCGGAAAAACAGTCCATCCCACAGTTCCGCCCTCCTGAACACACAGCCCAGTCTGTGCCTTCCACTCGAGGTCCAGTCCCGCCCCTTGCCCCTCCCCCACCACTTCTGACCAGGGAAGTAGGCCTGGTCTTTGCCCCAGACCAGCCTCCAGTTAGTCCGCGACTGGCCTTCACCTATTTCCCCTCACAGGGCACGCTCCCTTGGTCCCTCAGGTTTCTGTCTAGAATGCACTCCTGGGTTGCACGAGGAATTGCTCTTTCGTGTGGGGCAGGCAGAAGACTGCACTGCTAGTCTGCTAAGCAAAGGCTGGAAAGTCCCTAGTCACAGGATCCAAATTTACCCTGAGGCAGGGTTTGTGGGACTAAGTGGCTTCGCATTGTGAAGGCCTAAGAGATCCTAGGAAAATAACTTGGGGGGCTCCAGCTTTGATTTGAAGCCCTCTAGATGCTGGAAGACCGGAGCGGTACTGAGGGAAGGCAGATGAGGGGGTACTGGGCCTCAGAATATGGGACGACTAGTCTACAGAGGGGTTGGCAGGAAAGTCAGAACCACCTGCTGGCTCTGCAGCTGGCAGGGACATTGGGCTCTGAAAAGCGGTCCACTGGCTTTCCCAGAAATGGTGCTTTGAACAGCCAAGGGACAGAAAGTCTCAGGAGCAAGGAGGGGGAACACTGCTCAGCCGAGAGAGTTTTGGCTCCAGATCAAGTGTTTTCTGGACCATAACACTAGGAGCTACAGTTGTCTAGGCTGTACAGGCCTCAAGAAAGCCAGAGAGGGCTGTGCCCAGTGGACCCTAGGGCTGATGGGAATTCTCTCGGGTCAGGCTGGGGAAGGCCCTGGAGACAGAACTGGGAGTCACAGGGCAAGGCACACAGAACAGTCCTTTTCTGATGCAATCGTTGAGCAAAAACAGACACCCAGTTCCAGGAACAAGGATCAGAGAGGGCCCCTACGGCTGAGCCAGCAGTGGCCTGGGGGCCTCACGAAAGACTGGGAGCAGGGGCTGGCCAGGCAGGCAGTGGGGGTCCAGCCCTTACTTTCTGAGGCTGGTGATAACAGAACCCAGTGAATAACAAGTACTAATCATGGCTGATAAGGAGCCAGGCTGGCCTGGGGCTAACACCTAGGAAGTACCTCCCAACTGCTTCTCCCTCTGCTGGCTGAGTGGGGGTGAGGTGCTGATCTTGCTTTTTAAAACTATTTCTCAGTTCTCCAAGTTTTCTAAGTTGATTTTGTAAGTAGGGGTTAGGCCACTGCTGTGGTTTTAGGTAGAGTGTGGGGGCGGAGGGTAGGGGGTGGTAGAGGGGGGTAAGAAAGCTGCACTCTTTTTCATTCCGCCGGCCTTGAGGGGAGGGTGGGCGGCATTTCCACATCATTTTTCCCCAGAAACTAAACAGTTCCAGACTGAATTCTCTGGGTCTGGGGCATTGGCCTGAACGTCTCTCAACCCCCATCCCTACCCCAGGGTGGAAACAGGGTGGGGCCGGGACCAGATTAGATCAGACCAGACAGGAAGGGAAGTTCCCGAACTGAAGGTTTGAAGAGGGTCTGTGAGTGGAACCCACTGTCCGCCAACAGTCCACAAGGGCACGGGTAGAGGGGGTTCTGACTCAGGTCTGAGGGGTCAGTCCCCTGTGGAGCAAGGGAGACAGGCTCTAGTCAGTTCCAGAAGAACTGCCCAAGCAACTCAGGCCTCCTGAGATCACACTTTGGTCTCTCTTCCTCACCTAAAGACTCCTGGCGTCATCTCCTGACGTGCGCACGGTTCAGAAGGTAGGAGACTGCTCACCGGGCAATGCTATGGCTTGAGCTTGTAACCCCTACATTCATCTATTAGAAACTTAACTCCACTTACTTTGAGTTTTGGTAAAGCGTCAAATGGCCCTCTCTGCTTGTTCCATAGGTCCGGCTGGCCACTCTATAGCCTGCACTGGCTTCATTCTCTGCAATCTGATTCAGCTTCCAAACTTCTGAGATTGCAGCTGTGGCTGCGGTCATGGCTGCATACAACAACCACAGGGAGGAAGTGTCTGGGTCCAGCCTCATGAATGGGTTAATGCCTCTCCTGGGAACAGGCTAGCCCTGCAGCTCCCAACTCCTGCGATGTTAGGAAGCAGCATGCACCCCTCACTGGGTACAGCCATCAGATCCTGGTCTAGTCTCTGCAACTGTGAACCCAGGTAAGCATTCCTCTACAGATCACCCAGGAGAGAGGAATATAGCTCAGTGGATGAAAAGAACACTTGCTCCGCACGTTCAAGGCCTTGGGTTCCATTCCCAGCAATGCCTCCCCTGTCCTCCCCCAATCCATATACCATTGTTAGGTACTACAGACACGGAGAATAGAAGTGGACTTTATATAACCATGGCTCCTTTAAACAAACAAGCCTGTCCATGCCAATATTACTCCAATTTTACAAATGAGGAAAAAAAAAAAAAGAAATGGGGGGGGGGAAGAGAAACAAACAAAAAATTAAGGGAACTAGGGTCTCAGTAGAGTTGAGATGTGAAGGCAGTTCTACTTCTCAGAGCGTCTGTCCTTGACCCCAAAGGGGCTGGAATCCAGGCAGCCTCCCCTTGGTCACTGCCAACCTTACTTTGCAGAACCATGCAGACTTGGGTATCACAACCCAAGGAATCTTCTGAAAGATGGACAGGCCCTCGGCATAGATGGGGATATGTAAGCCACACAGTGAGGAGATGGGCTTAGCTTCATGCACAGAACAACTGGGCTGGATGGAACAAGAACTTCTGGCTACTGACTCCCATTCCAGATGACTCCCAGTCCCAAACAATCAAAGCTCATGAGGGCCCAAACAGGTGCCTGGGACAAGAGAAAATGAACTGGTCACGAGACTTCTGGTCAGGAACCATGCCTGGAGCATCCAGCAACTGCCTCAAAGGTACTCCAAGTTTCTCAGGGCAGAGGGGTGAGCAGAGAGCACCACTGTATGTAGATGCCCAATAAACAGTCCCTCAGCAGACTGGTCAACCAGGACCAAGATACCTCAGAAGTGAAGGGACAAATCGCGTCCTATGCACAGAGACCTGCAAAGGCAACTTTGTTATAGATTTATTTGATATTTGAACCGAGTCCACAAGTCAGACCCACGTGTAACGGATTGCTTCATGGTTGTCAGAGGCTAGTGTGCAGTATTTCCAAGGGTTACATCCAATGACACGACGCAGAAAACACAAAGGGACAGAGACAGACATAATTGTTAAGACAAGAGACGCTAAAACGTGCCTTAGTGTCCATGTGATTGATCTAAGGCAAGGACCCTTCTAAAGTGGGGACCCTAGTGACTGATCTAAAGCTGAGTGGCTTACCGCCACTAGGTGCTAACTGTACTGTGTGCAAACCAGGTGCCCAGTATGGAAGCTGCCCTCCCAGAGGTGACCTCTCCGCACCCAATCAGGACCAGATGGTGACAGCCAATGTAAGCAGCAGCAGAGGCGAGTGGTGGCACTGAGCAAACCCACGACACACGATGTGGGGACAGAGTCTCGGGGAAGCAGCTGCTTGAGGCTCCTTAACACTGTGCATGAGTGGCATCATGGGGGTGGGGAGGAAGGGATGGAGCACCGGTCCCCTGGGGATCAGCCAGCCCAAGTCTCCTCCCTTCTTGGCAGTTCCAGAGCCTTCCTTTTGGCTGACAGTCATGTAAAGGGTGTCTGCCAAGACCCACGGAGAAGAAAAATAACAAGACACACACACACACACAAAAAAAAAACAAAAACCCTAAAAGCAAACAAAAATAAAAGCCCTGCCTGCCCGGGAGAAGAGAAGAACAAACAGCTCCGCTGGACCAAGGTCAGGACAGACAGGAAAACATCCTGGCCCACACCACAGGGACAGGAAGTTTCCTTCAATGTCTTGCTGCTTTGCTCAAGGGGAAATACCACCCATCCTGAGACTTCAACTCACTGGCCTTTAGTGTCTTTTTTTATTTTTAGGTTTTTTTTTTTTAATACCCAAACCATCATTTTCAAAGCTTAAAAAAAAAAATCAAAACAACAACAACAAAAAACCCTAAAATTGCTTCAAAAAACTGATGGGGCAAGCCCCAGGCCTGATCCTTCCACCTGGAGGCCTGGTCTCCCACAAGCTTCGCTGCCAGATCCTAGCCCTGTGCCAATAAGGTGACCGTCCTGCGGTTGGCTCTGCCTAAGTCTGGATGGGCATTGTTTCTGTCAGCATCACCTGAAAGTAAAGGCAAACCCTGCAGGTCTCTTAAAAACTTCCCAGACCAGACCTTCTTGGGAATGTATAAGTTATCTGGAGGGAGGAGATGGGAAGTGGCAAAAATAAATACCCAAATCTAAGTTACTGTCCCTGGGCCTCTGGTGCCAGCTCAGCCCCTGAGGCAGAGACGGCCTCCAGGGTGAAGACCCTGATTGTCCAAATACTGTACTCGGAGACTAGTCTCAGAGTTTCCGGTCTCCAGCAAGTGCCTGCCCTGGGTGTATGAGTCCCAGAGGGAGAAAAGGGGCCAGCCCCTCAGTTCCTGTCTTCTGTCCTGGCCCAGCTTATGCCTGGTCCAGGTTCTGCATGGCTGAACCTGGCTGGACCCGGCTGGCTGTCCAGCAGTTCTGGGAGAACTGAACTGCCCACTTGGCCTGAGGGCACGCTGAGGGTCCTTGCTGCTCCTCCAGGCTCTGCTCAGGCCTGCTCCTTATCAGCTCTCCATAGGCGGTCCTTCACCTCTGGCGGCAGCGTGCTAAACAAGTCCTCCTCCACCACCAGGCCACTGCGTTTGAGCAGTGGGCACTCGCCCAGCTCCACGGGTAGGCACTCCAGCCGGTTGCCCCGAAGCTCAATCTGCGTCAGGTTGGTCAGCTCACCTACTCTTGAGGGCAGCGACTGCAGTACATTGTTGCCCAGGTGCAGAGCCCGCAGCTTCCGGCACTGGAAGAGTTCTGGGGGGAGTGCCTCGATCTGCAGGAGGGAGCAAAGGGCCAGGGTGAGGTGTATGGCTGGACAGTGTCTTTGGGCTTTCCACATACAAACCTGGTCAAGAGCTACCCATACACAGGTATTACCTTTGCAGTGACTTCCTCCAGGAAGCTATCCTGACTTCCTGAGTCCTACACAACATTCATAATGCTAATCCTTTTGTCTGTCATCTCCTGAACTGCGGGCTCTAAGTGTGCAGAGTGGTCTAGCCAGGCCTATCAAGCAGGCAGTTACTGCCTACCCTACTCACCTTCACATTCCAGGGCAAGGAGAGTCCCAGCTAGACCACTGCTTCTCCCAGGACACGCCTTCCTTACCTGTCAGGTCCCAGGGTAACAGGAGTGCAGGGGCCCAGTAGTAAGCATTTGGCACTCCTGTTTGCAGCTTACCACAATATGAGCTCACTCAGCACAGATACTGTTTTGTTTTTTTTAAAGATTACCTTCTTTTTGTTTGCTGTGTGTGTGAATTTCCCACTGTGTGGATCCCTGGGATCAAGTTCAGGTATCAGGTTTGATAGAAGATGCCGTTCTCACTGAGCTATCTTTTTAATTTGTTTTCATGTGTATGGCTGTTTTGCCAGCATGTATGTCTGTATACCACATGAGTGCAGTGACCCCAGGAGCCAGAAGAGGGCATCAGGTCCCCTGGATTTGGAGTTACAAACCGTGATTAGCCATCATGTGGATGCTGAGAATTGAACCTGTGTTCTCTGAAGAGCATCAAGTGCTCTTAACATCAGAGTCATCTTTCTATTGCAAGATATCCTTATTTTTATGTGTTTGAGTCCTTGCCTGCATGTATGCATGTATGCATGGATGTACACCCATGTGATTGATGCCTAGTGCCTGTGCATCTCTAGCTCTCAGCACAGGCACTGCTTTCCCACTCAGTGTTCGAAACCACCAGCTAATGCTCTGAGAATGTTTCTGTTTTACAGACAGACAACAGAAGACTGACGATGAGAACTTGTCCTGAAGTTCAGCAGGTAAGAGGTGGTGCCACGATTTGAATCTGGTACAATAGCGATGCTGGGACTGGAGAGATGGCTCTGAGGTAAAGAACACAGGCTGTTCTTCCAGAGGTCCTGAGTTCAATTCCCAGCACCCATATGGTGGCTCACAACCATCTGTAATGAGATCTGTGCCCTCCTCTGGCTTATAGGCTATGCAGGTAGAACACTGTATACATACAGAATTATTTATTTATTTAATTATTTAGTATACAACATTCTGCCTCCATGTATACCTGAATGCCAGAGGAGGGCACCAGATCTCATTGCAAATAGCTGTGAGCCACCATGTGGTTGTTGGGAATTGAACTCAGGACCTCTGGAAGAGCAGCCAGTGCTCTTAAACACTGAGCCATCTCTCCAGCCCCCTAAATAAATAAGTCTTAAAAAAAATAGCAAAGCTGAGCCGGGTGGTGGTGGTGCACGCCTTTAATCCCAGCACTTGGGAGGCAGAGGCAGGCGGATCTCTGTGAGTTAGAGACCAGCCTGGTCTACAAGAGCTAGTTCCAGGACAGGCTCCAAAACCACAGAGAAACCCTGTCTTGAAAAAAACCAAACAAAAAAAAATAGCAAAGCTGTTGACTATACACAGCAATGGCTGAGCAAGGGGCAAACCACAGAGCTACATTAGAGCCATCCCAGGTGTCCTGGGCATGCAGGAAGAGCCTAAGGACTGCCAGCCTCTCCCCTGCCCTTCTGTGGCAATCAGCTAGAGACAAGGGTCCTTACCACACCTGACTGGAAACTGCCACCTTCAGAAGAATGGGCAGGTGGGGAGTTAGGCTATACTCCCAAGCAGGGACTCCCTACTCTCAGGGACTTCGCCACTGTTCCTATTTTCCTGCAAAGGAGAGGTGACACACACCCTATCCTGTCAGAGGGTGCATGGCCACTTTTTTGAGAGGATACAAGCTTTGCTTTTTGCCACCACTCACACAGGAACCACATTCTCATTTTGTCAAACACAATGCTCTGTTATGCCATAGCAGCAGGGAAGCCTCTTGCTCTCTTGAGCCTCAGTTTCCCCATTCTTTTTGTTGTTGTTTGGTTGGCTGATTTTTGGTTTTTCGAGGCAGGGTTTCTCTGTGTAGCCCAGCTGTCCTGGAACTCACTCTGTAGACCAAGCTGACTTCAAAATCACAAAGATCTATCTGCCTACCTCTACTGGTAGGTAGCGTTGGTATTGAAGGTGTGTGCCACCGCTACTTGGCACAGTTTCCCCATTTTTTAACATAAAGCTTGAACTAGGAATACTTCTCACCTTCAGCATTCCTAACTCAGGACCGTTTCTCAGTTTTGGAGCTAAACCTCTGAGGTTTTGGTTCCTAATAAACAACTCAGTTTTCTCGGCAGGAAAATGAGTGTGGCCACAGCCTCAGAGTCATTGTAACAGGGGGGTTACAGTGACTTATTCAAGGAGACGTCTGACCTGGGTATCCAAAGCTTCCTCTGCTATGGCCAGGGTCAGGGATGGGGTAAGGATCTGAAGTGCAGGGATACGAAAGTCAAGGGTAGATGGGAAGTGGGTCCTGCAGGACCCAGGGACCAGAGCCTTCCCAGAATAGCCACAGTGCCTTCCTGTCCCCATCACCACCACCACCACACACATCCTGTGACCTCCTCTAATGATACAGTCAAGGGCAGTAGAGATGGTTCTGGCAGTGAGTGGTACAGACGGGGACACTCAAGAGTTAGTCGGTGCTTCCTGAGATCCCTTCTTCAACGTCCCCTCCCCAGAACCTCACCACTACCACTCTGCCATCAAACATTCTGTAGGCCTCAGAGAAAAGTGCAGGTACTTCTGGTAGCTTGGCCACAGCCACACCTAACCTTCAGAGCTGTCCCCAGTTCACTGAAGGCTTAAAGTTCTTTCCAGTCACCCTGAATCCCCTCTACCCTGCCTTTTCAGAGACCTCAGTGGCTCCCTGATTAGCGTAGAAATGGCCTCAGGTCGACTTGGTCTTCAGCCAAGATGGCCCTCAGAAGCTTCCGGTCTGCTCCCTCCTGCACGGCTCCTCAACCCTCCCTCAGCACCCCTGGAAAGGCACTACTCTGAGCTCACGTAAGCCAGCCTCTGCCCTGCTGCCCTGTCACAAGCCAGATTCACATCTGTCCTTTCATTGACTCCCCATGGACATGGAGTCATGTGCTCCGACCTGACCTTACCTTTCACCTCGCAGGAGCACCGCAAGGATGACTCTGAAAGTCTCAGGACAATTCATTCAGGGTCCAACACGGGATGCATACTCAATCGTTCCTCTCAGGTCCTGAGACCTCCCTCACACCCCCGCCCCAACAGAGGACTCATTCTTACTCCTGTCCCTAGCAGCCTTGTCCAATCCAAGCCTTTCACCTCACTGCCTACCCTACTGTAGTCTCAAGTCCAGGAGGACCCTGCCTGCCTGCAATTGGTCCAAGCACATTTTTTTCCTATAAAAGGCCTCTCTCTGGGTACTCCCAGGGGTGAGGACAGGATGTGATTAAGCAATGTGCTAAGCAGGGTGTCTGAGGGTCTCCTTCCTCTAGTACAGGACAACATGCCTCCACCAGCTCCGTTCCTAAGGGGTGACCTCAGCTAATAGGCACGACACTAACAGGCAAGCCTACGTGAGAAGCTGGGGGTGGGGGTCGAGATAAGGCAAGGCTGAAAGCTGGCTCACACCTTCCTGTAGGAGTCTGGCCCAGCAGATACTTCAGAGTGAGGGATGGAGAGTCCACCCCAACGTCCTGGAGTGACCAGACTCCAACATTATGCCACAGGGAGCCACTTGGTACCCCCCACCCCCGCCATACACACACATATTAAAGAAGGGATTGTCCTGTTTGGTTTTTGTTTTATTTCTGTTTTTGCTTTTTTCCCCCTTCATGAATCTCTAATTCCTCTTTTCAATGGGTCTCACTATAGTGAAAACAACCAGAGGTGGACTCATCATCCTTGACTCTCCAATATACATAAACCATGGCTGGGGTAGGGAAATAAAGATCGTCCCAATCCCAATCCCTCTGACATGGAGGATCAGGACGACCTGCACTAGAGGTGCCTAAGGACCTAAGCTACCAGCAGTATGTGCCGTGCAGAGGCGAGTCCTGACTAGATCTACTGTCCTCCAAGTCTGCGGCTGGTAGACAGAGCTCCTGGGAACAGAAGGCTGAGGTGTCACACCTGCTCAAGGTCACAACCCCACGCTAGAGCCAGCAGAACTCACTTAAAGGACCTTTGTAATGGAGGCACTGAGGTGGTGGCTGAATCGGTGCTCAGTCTCCTGATCCCTAGCCTCAGGCTCCCCGTCTTTTACAGGAAGATATCCTGAAGGCCCTGAGTACAAGGAACCTCTCACCCAACATCCAGTGGCTACAGCTTGGTTTCCCCCTAGGAGGTCAGACCACAAGCTACAGAAGTGCCCTGCCCTTAACCCCAATCTAACTGGCCCATTACCTTTTGGTGGGGCTTTCCAGTCATAAAAGGGTTGGTACACAGGGGCCACCTACAGTTTCAATGCTAGGCCCCAGTGGTTTGCACACTTTCTTCTCTAGAAAAGCAGGTAGGGGACAAGCTGTTCCACCTAACCCCAACTTTTCCCTCCACCACCCAAATGCAGAGAGGAGAAGGACATGAGTAACGTTGGAGCTAGAGACATTGGCTTCGCCTCAGCCAGCAAAGCCACCCACGGAGGGAACCCAGGCTGGCCCCTAGCCACAAAATCTTGGAGTCAAGCTGAGGGAAACAGATACCACAAACTCCAGGTTAAGACCTACCTCCCACCATCCCACTCCAAGAAAACCTTGGTCTTGGGATTCCTATGTTGTACACACCCCTGAAACTCAGGCCCTACCTGACCACACCACCATCGGGGCAGAACTCTAAGCTTATATGACAAGGATAGAGTCCTAGCCTGAGATTCTGATTTAGCAGATCTTCAATGAGGCCTGGGAGTCTGGCTCCTGAACAAGCACCTGTGTTTCTAGAAACAAGTGAGGACCTCAACCCCAGAAGCATCGACTGCCCTGAGATACTAGTTCTCTGAGCACCTAGCTGGTCACCCTGTGGCAGGCCACTCACCCTATTGGCCGTGACAGCCAGGTTCTGGAGGTTCTGCAGGAGGCCGATGTCAGCAGGAAGGAAGGTCAGGTTGTTGTGGCTGAGGTCCAGGTAGCGCAGCTTGCGGCAGTAGAAGAGCTGGGTAGGAATCTTCTCGATCTTGTTGCGATTCAGGTAGAGGCGCTCGAGGTTGGTGAGGTTGCCGATCTGGATGGGGATGTAGGCGATGTGGTTGTACCACAGCTTAAGGCAGGTGAGGCGGTGCAGATGCTGGAAGCTAATGATCTCCTCAATGGTCTTGAGGTTGTTGTCCTTTAGGTCAATCTCCTGCAGGTTGTGGAGGCTGAAGATGGAGTGAGGGATGCGTTCCAGGTCACAGCGGATCAGTTCCAGCTCCGTCAGGTTCACCATCTTTTTGAGGCTGTTGAGGACAATGAGCTTGGTGCCCTCGTTGTTGATGGAAAGCTTCTGCAGGTGCACGCCCACATCCGTGACCACCTGTGGTAGCTTGCTCAGGTTGCTTTTGAGCCGCAGCACCTTGAGGCGCTTGAGCTCCCGAAGCCCATCAATGACAATGTAGCGGTTGTTCTCTGCACTCAGGTTGCCCGTCAAGTGCAGCTCCTCCAGTGTCTTCAGGCTGTAGATCCACAGTGGGATCTCCTTGATGTCGGTGAACTTGATGTGCAGTGCCCGGAGGTTCTCACGCAGGAAGGCCAGAGCAGGAGCCTCGATCTTGGCTGCTGTGTGGTACAGCCACAGTTCCTTAAGGCCCGTTAGCTGGGCAATGCTGGGTGGGATGGTCACATCAGGGATCAGTTCCAGCTTCAGGACCTCTAGCTCAACCAGGTCAAACACGGTGTCAGGAATGCCACTGAGCATGAACAGGTGTAGCTCCAGCTTGTCCTGGGCGTTTTTGGTGAGCCGCTGGCGCAGCTTCTCCAGCGTCCACTCGTTGTTGAGGTTAAGCTGCCGCAGCTTGTTCTCACTCACTTCAGACAGGAAGACAGCAAAGCGCTTTGAGTAGAGAGGGTCGTATTGGTCAATGAGGTGCAGCATGAAAGCAAAGTCGTTCTTGACATCTGGGATGTCGCTGTAGCTGCTCTCCTCTCGAATGGACTCAAACGAGTACTTCTTGAGGGAGCGCCGCAACATCCACCACAGTGTGTACATGCAGATGAGACCATAGAAAATGACCAGGCTGATGTAGAAGGATGCCAAGATCTTGAAGAGTGTGGCCAGAGGGTGGGCACACCGGTAGGTGCGGTAACCGGTCAGGCTCTCAATGTCCACAGTGCAGTCCACATCGAACTTGATATTGTGCACATAGTAGACAGTGTAGCAGATGATGAGGATGAACTTGATCACCTTGATGATGGTCTGCCGCATATAGAGGCGGTATACGATGTCCCCCTCCTCCACGTGGGTCCGAAACTTCTTCACCTTCTCAAACAGTGCCTTTGCCTGCTCCCCTTCCTTCTTGTCCAGCACTCCTGTCTCTGATCGGTCCACGATGCCCTGCTCAATCCGTGACTTGGTCCTCTGCAGCATGGGCACAGTGGCCTCCACGTCCTCACTGACTGTGGATGACTTCTTGTCCATGGAGCCATTCATCTTGCTGAATGCAGGCTTGGGGTCACTCTCCTCCACCACCGTCTCTGACAGGGCCCTTGTGGTCCACGGCGAATCAAAGCACTTTAGCAGGATAGACACAAAGTGCTCCAACTTTGAACTGGTGCGTGGAAACTTGAACCAGAAGTTGCTACAGGCCAGGAAGATGAGGGTGTGCAGGAGCACGAGGTAGGGGAAGTACTTGGCAAACCAGTGTAGACGGTTCTCATAGCACACAGCATCCACGTAGTTGTACTGGTGGCGGTCTAAGTCGTACTTGATCCCTGTAGGGCCTGTGTCGGGAGTTGGTGCGACTGTGGAGTTGGGGTAAGTGGGCTCCGCCCAGCCTCGAAAGGAGTCGTTGCAGGAGTCTTTGGTGACCCACTTACAAGGTAGGCAGATCATTTTATCCTGGGTGACTTGCAGCGTCCCCCCAAAGACAGCAATCATCAGCATGACGATGGAGATGTAGTCAGTAAACACATCCCACCATGGCTTCAGGATCCGGTAAGCTGGCTGCGTGTCCGCAAAGTAGCGGAGCTCTGTCACCGGGATCATGGTTTAACCTGAAAGGGACCCGTAAGGAGTTAGCACAAGGCAGAGTCACGATTCTGAACCCCAGGGAGGAAGGAGGAATATAAATAGTCCACCACTGGAGCTCAGTGGTGGCTGCACACATCTTTAATCCCAGCATTTGAGAAGCAGAAGCAGGAGGATCTCTGAGTTCAAGGCCAGCCAGGGCTACACAGAGAAATCCTGTCAAAACAGAACAAACTCAAGGCTGGAGAGATGGTTCAGTGGTTGAGAGCACTGGCTGTTCTTCCAGAGGACCTGAGTTCAATTTCCTGCACCCACATGGTGGCTCACAGCCATCTGTAATGAGATCTGGCATCCTCTTCTGGTCTGAAGCTATACATGCAGACAGAACCCTGTATACATAATAAATAAATAAATCTTTAAAAAATGATCTAGAGGAATTTCTGCAGTGAGGACAGCAGAGGAAGCTTACCAAGAATTCATTCATTTGTGCATGTGGGGCGGGTGATGGAGGAGGCTGTTTTCTTGTTTTTCAAGACAGGGTTTCTCTGTGTAACATCTTGGCTGTCCTGTAGACCACTTGGATCAGTGCTGTGATTTAAGGCATGTGCCACGGCCACCACCTACCCAACTGCAGCCAGCATTCTTACCTACTCCAACCCACAAGAACTCAGTCTTGTAAAACAAACCTTGAAGCTTAAAAATCTGTAAATGTAGCCAGGTGTGGTGGTATATATCCTTAATTCCAAAGCAGGCAAATCTCTGTGAGTGAGACCAGCCTGGTCTACATAGTGAGTCCTAGGCCAGCCAGGGCTACACAGTGGGACTGTCTTGAAACAAAAGAACCAAGACATATCAACAAGTTTGTACACAGCAGGTGTAGACAGGACTGTGTGGACAGATAGTGGGTCTAGTGAGGGACTCTGGAGGGGGCATAAACGTGGGAGGTTGTAACTTCCTGTGGATAATCTGTGGTGTGGGGATGGGAGCTGTAAACAGCAGGTGAAAGGAGGTCTCCCTGAGAGCTCCATCTGGTCAGATTCAGGCAGCCTGAGACTCTAACAATGGTTTCTCTGACTCAAGCGGTTAGTCTGTTGGGAAATGCTGGACCAGAAACTGCTTTAGGGAGACCCAGCCTGTGCCACAAACATGGCTGGAAGGGAAGTCCTTGGCAAGGAGGCTGATCTTACTCTGGTCTACAAAACTGTAATGAGCGGGACAAAGGAAGTATCTACCCCTGGAAGTTCACTAGGGAGCATCAGAAAAAATATAAAAAGCACGAGATGGGAAGAAAAAGCCCTGCTCTCTCGGCTACCGGGACTGTACTCAGTGCACATACTGAGACTGATAACTCCCCCGACTTCTGGTTTGGATTTGTGTAAGACGTGGTCTTACGCTGGCCTCAGGCTCACCCAGTATATAGCCAATGGTGACCTTGAATTTCTGATCCTGTCTACTCCCTAAGCCACCACACCCAGGGTATGAGTTGTAAAGGACCAAACCCACAACTTCCTGCATGATATTCAAGAGCTATACCACCACCCACATTTTAAAAAAGTAAAATTGTGCTTTTACAATCAGCAGTCCTCCTGTACACAAATGATAAAGAAGCTGAGAGGGAAATCAGAGAAACATCACCTTTCACCATAGCCACAAACAACATAAAATAGCTCAGAGTAACACTAACCAAAGAAGTGAAAGGCCTATTTGACAAGAACTTTAAGTCTTTGAAGAAAGAAACCGAAGAAGATACCAGAAAATGGAAAGATCTCTTATGCTCTTGGATAGGTAGGATCAACATAAGAAAAATGGCAATCCTACCAAAAGCAATCTATAGATTCAATGAATCCCCATCAAAATGCCAACACAATTCTTCATAGACCTCAAAAGAACAATAATCAACTTCATATGGAAAAACAAAAAACCCAGGATAGCCAAAACAATCCTGTACAATAAAGGAGCTTCCGGAGGCATCACCATCCCTGACATCAAGCTCTATTACAGAGCTACAGTAATGAAAACAGCTTGGGCCGGGCAGTGGTGGCGCACGCCTTTAATCCCAGCTCTTAAACACTGAGCCATCTCTCCAGCCCCCTAAAATAAATAAGTCTTAAAAAAAATAGCAAAGCTGAGCCGGGTGGTGGTGGTGCACGCCTTTAATCCCAGCACTTGGGAGGCAGAGGCAGGCGGATCTCTGTGAGTTCGAGACCAGCCTGGTCTACAAGAGTTAGTTCCAGGACAGGCTCCAAAACCACAGAGAAACCCTGTCTCGAAAAACCAAAAAACAAAAAACAAACAAACAAAAAAAAAAAGAAAACAGCTTGGTATTGGCATAAAAACAGAGACGTTGACCAATGGAATTGAATTGAAGATGCAGATATTAATACACACACCTATGAACCCCTGATTTTTGACAAAGAAGCTAAAATTATACAATGGAAAAAAGAAAGTATCTTCAACAAATGGTGCTAGCATAACTAGATGTTAAATATTTATTTATTGGGGCTGGAGAGATGGCTCAGCGGTTAAGAGCATTGCCTGCTCTTCCAAAGGTCCTGAGTTCAATTCCCGGCAACCACATGGTGGCTCACAACCATCTGTAATGAAGTCTGGTGCCCTCTTCTGGTCTGCAGACATACACACAGACAGAATATTGTACACATAATAAATAAATATTTATGGTTGTGTTTATGTTAACATGTAGAAGAATGAAAATAGATTCATATCTATCCCCATGCACAAAACTCATGTCCAAATGGATTAAAGACCTCAATATAAATCCGATTACACTGAACCTGATAGAAGAGAAAGTGGGAAGTAGCCTGCAATGCATGGGCACGGGAGACCACTTCCTAAATATAACCCCAGTAGCACAGACACTGAGAGCAATAATAAATAAATGGAACCTCCTGAAACTGAGAAGCTTCTGCAAAGCAAAGGACACAGTCAATAAGACAAAAAGGCAGCCTACTGAATGGGAAAAGATCTTCACAAACCCCACATCAGACAAAGGACTGATCTCCAAAATATATAAAGAACTCAAGAAATTAGACATTAAAATTCTAAACAACCCAATTAAAAAATGGGGTCTAGAACTAAACAGAGAATTCTCAACAGAAGAATCTCAAATGACCAAAAGATACTTAAGGAAATGTTCAACATTCATAGCCATCAGGGCAATGCAAATAAAAAGCAACTCTAAGATACCATATTACACCTGTCAGAATGGCTAAAATCAAAAGCACCAATGAAAGCTTATGCTGGAGAGGATGTGGAGTAAGGGGAACACTCATCGCTGGTTCGATGCAAACTTGTACAACCACTTTGGAAATCAGTATGGTGGTTTCTCAAAAAATTGGGAATCAACCTACCTCAGGATCCAGCAATACAATTCTTGGGCATATACCCAAAATTGCTCAATCATACTACAAAAGCATTTGTTCAACTATGTTCATAGCATATGTAATAGCCAAAACCTAGAAACAACCTAAATGCCCCTCAACTGAAGAATGGATAAAGAAAATGTGGCACATTTACACATTAGAGTACTACTCAGGGGTAAAAAAACAATGACATCTTGAATTTTGCACGCAAATGGATAGAATTAGAAAACATTATCCTGAGTTAAGTAACCCATACCCAAAAAGATGAACATGGTATGCACTCACTCATATAAACAAAGGACATTGAGCCTATATATAGTTCATGATCCTAGAGAAGCTAATTAGGTGAAGCCAAAGAAAAACATACATAGATCCACCTGGGAATTGGAAACAGTCAAGATCGCCTGATAAAATTGGGAGCATACGGGTGGGGGGAGGGAGAAGGGAGGATGGAAAAGAAAGAGGAGGGGAGAAGGGGAGGGTTGAGGAAAAGGGATAGTCGAGATGGAGGAAAAACAGAGATGAGAGCAAGGAAAGAGGTATCTTGAGGGAGCCATTATAGGGTTAGCAGAAACCTGGCTCTAGAGAAAGTCCCAGGAATCCACAAGGATGACCCCAGCTAAGATCCTAAGCAATAGAGGAGAGGGTACTCTAACTGGCCTTGCCCTGTAGTCAGACTGATGAATATCTTAAATGTCACCTTTGAACCTTCCAGCAACTGATGGAAACAGAGGCAGAAACTCACATCGGAGACTGGACTGAGCTTCCAAAGTCCAGTTGAAGAGTGAGAGGAGTGAGAATATGAGCAAAGAGGTCAAGACCATGATGGGGACACCCAATGAAACAGTCTACCTGAGCTAATGGGAGCTCACCAATTCTAGCTAGACTGGGAAGATACAAGCATAGGACCAAACTAGTCCCTCTGAGTGTGGGTTGCATGTCTGGGGCAGACTGAGAGGCCACTGGCAGTGGCACCAGGATTTATCCCTACTGCTTGTACTGGCTTTTTGGGATCCTGTTCTCTTTGGATGTATACCTTACTCAGCCTAGATGTAGTAGGGAGGGCCTTGGACCTTCCACAAAGCAATGTGCTTGACCCTCTCTGAGGATTGGATGGGGGTGGTGTGGGAGGGTGTGTGGACGGAATGGGAAGAGGGAAGGAGTGGGAACTTGGATTGGTATTTTTTTTTAAAAAATATAATAATTTTTTTGTTTTTGTTTTTGTTTTTCGAGACAGGGTTTCTTTGTAGCTTTGGTGCCTGTCCCGGAACTAGCTCTTGTAGACCAGGCTGGCCTCGAACTCCCAGAGATCCGCCTGCCTCTGCCTCCCGAGTGCTGGGATTAAAGGCGTGCACCACCACCGCCCGGCTAAAAATTATTTTTAAAAAATTGTGCTTTTACTTAACACCATATTTTCTTGATCTTTGAATCTAGACCTCACACCAATTTTAAATACCGTTAGGTTGGTCTCATTCTCTCGGAATAGTGAGACACCCTGGGGAGGAATCCAAACTACTGTATTTTCATACTGATGCTGATCATGACAGCCGTAACAAATCCTTCAATCTGCTGAATCCTCTCCACAAATGCCAAGTGCTCCCCACCAATCTTTTGAGGGCATCTGAGGATGAAGGCATTGGGGCCCT